TTGATAAATTATATTCTACGCCAGATAATTAAGTCCAAAGAAGTTAGTATAAAATTTATTTTTATTGTTGGTCTCATCCAATAATTTCTTGTTATCTGGCATAATTTGACGAATACATGAATATCAGCAGGATAATAGCAAAAGCACGTGGCTGAAGGCCTTGTGGGTTGCAATTATACTGGCGATGTCTATGATCCGTTAGGGTATTTCATATACTAATTATCGCTATTTGCAAAATGATTTATTTTTGATAAAATCTGTAGGTCACTGCATGCCCGATTGCTGAGAAATCGCAACAATCACGTATAATTGATTGCAATCGGGCATGTAGTGACCTACAAATTTTATTAAAAATAAATCATTTTGCAAATAGCGATAATCAATAGGGATGTATTATATAAATTACTTTGTTACGTTTTATGTAAATTATATTGTAACTTACGAAATTGTAATGTAACATTACATTGAATAGTGCATTGTCACATGATAATTTTACTGATATTCAAAAGTTTAGCCAGTGCTAATAGATATTCATTATTATGTTCGTAATTGTAATTTTTATTTATTTTTAATAAAAATTTTTGCAAAAGGGTTTAATAATTTATCGCCATAGCGATGTATCGCCAGTCTATACGAAGTTCGAAATTTTGATGATTTGTAAGCAAAATTTCAAACTTCATCTATGTGGAGTTTGAAATTTTGCTTACAAATCATCAAAATTTCGAACTCTGCATAGACTGGTGATACATCACTATGGCGATAAATTATTAAACCCTTTGCAAAAATTATTCACACAATAAAAATTACATGTAATTTTGATTTCAGAAGATTACACAAAATTTTGTAAAACATAAAATTACAGTAATTTTCTATCTCTAATAATCAAACATATGCGAGGTATTATAGTAAAAATCAATATATAGTACAGATTTTATGCATAGATTGGCAAAATCGATAAATTACTAGTAAAACATTAGTAATTTAAAAATTGATTCACCTCATGTACTAGTAATTTTTTCACGGCAAATGATAATTATAATGTAGTAAAAAAAAGTTACAAGCTTAAAATTTTAATTAATTAAAAATTTTTTAATTATTACTTAGTAAAATAATCTAAAAAATAAATTTTATAATAAATTTAGAAAATTTAAGCTTGTAACTTTTTTTTACAACATTATAACTATCATTTGCCACGAAAATTACTACAAAAAAATTACTAGTATGCGAGGTGAATCAATTTTTAAATTACTAATATTTTATTAATAATTTATCGATTTTGCATACTAGATGACTAGTTTATCTGGCAGGTATAATGTAGAAAAAATTTTATATTACTTTCGCAGATTTTTATATTAAAATTGATCACATGATTTTAATAATAAAAATTTGCGGAAATAATGTAAAATTTTTTCTGTCGGCGTTTACATAGTACCTGCCGGATAATATTATTTTCTTGCTAAAAACTTTCGAAAATTTTTGATGAAAAATTTTACATATCAGCAAAACACGTAATTGATCTACCAATCAAAATTAAATTGTGCAATTTCCAGGCCGAATAGTATGTATGGCATGATCGATATGTGACACGATCTGCAATTTCTAGCCAGAAACATCACGTGATATTCAGCATCAGCCATCACAGTTATTATACGTATTAGTCTAAAGCACACAATGATATGGCAGAGACTCCAGTCATTACCCCAGCATGAACTGTAATTAATCACTTTTTTTTTTTTTTCTGTAAATTAATAAATTAGTTAACCAAATTTACTATTATAGTTTACGTCAAAGTCCAAAGTCTTCATGGATATAGAACAGTCCTCAGTAAATATGCCAGTGAGTTCCGATACGGCATTAAAGAATATTATCATACAAGCGACAAGAACCCTCTGTGACATTAATACAAAGTTAGGCATGAAAGTTGAGAACAAGGAAGCTTCAATCGCCCAAAGAGATCAGATGATCGCCAATAGAGACGCCGAAATCGCTGAACTTAAAATAAGGCTAAACGAGCTCGAAAAATTTATTCAAACCACGATGGAGGGAGTCTACAAATTTTTTTAGACTTTCACAATGGTAATATTTTACAGCATAAAGGCATAAGTACAACTTTACAGCCTTATGTCTCATATCTAGAATTGTCCAAAAAGAAAGATGGAAACAATTTAAAAATAAAAAAATAAAAAAAAAAACAAAAAAATAAGATGATCGCAAAAGCTAACCCACATTAGTCTTTTATAGTAGTAGAAGGACAAGTTTGTATAATCATCAACAAACTAATAGTAATAGTTCAAGTTCTCCGAAAGATACTGAGTTTACCAAAATGCCAAAACTATGTGACTGGTGAAAATGGAAATGTCAAGAAGGTTGTTAATTGATTTTTGTTAATTTGCAAGTACTAGGATTGCGAATTACCTTTATAATTAATTTTCATGG